TAAATAAGAATCTGCCAAACTGTTTTCCAAGTTGCTGTACCATTTTGCACTCCCACCACCAAGACTTCCTGTTGTTCCACATTCTCACCAATAGTTGGAATTTTTAGTTCTTTTAATTTTAACCATTCTAATGAATATGAGATATTACTGTGGTATTAATTTTCATTTCCCCAATGATTAATGATAACTATCTTTTCATATATTTATTGGCCATTTATAGATCTTTTAAAAAGGTATTGTATGTTTCAGGTGTACAGCATTATAGTTAAACATCTGTACACACTGCAGAGTGATCACCACCGCCAGTCTAGCTACCATCCATCACCATACATTGACCCTCTTCACCCATTTTGCCCACCCTTCAAGCCCCTGTCCCCTTTGGTAACCACCAATTTGTTTCCTGTATCTATGAGTTTGCTTTTGTTTGTTGGTTGGTTTTGTTTAGTTTTTTTTTTTATTCCATATGTGAATGAAATCATATGGTATTTGTCTTTCTCCATCTGACTTATTTCACTTAGCCTAATACACTCAAGGTCCATCCATGTTGTCACAAATGACAAGATTTCAGTCTTTTGATGGCTGAGTAGCATTCCACTGCACATACATATACCGATCTTCTTTATCCTTTCATCCATTGGTGGACACTTAGGTAATTCCCATATCTTAACTGTTATAAAAAATGCTGCAGTGGATATAAGGGTGCATACATCTTTTCAAATTAGTGTTTCTGTGTTCTTCAGATAAATACACAGAGGTGGAATATCTGGGTCATATGGAAGTTCTATTCTTATTTTTTTGAGGAATCTGCACACTATTTTCCATAGTGGCTACACAAACTTACAGTCCCACCAATAGCATACCAGGGTTCCCTTTCCTCCACATCCTTTCCAACGTCTGTTATTCCTTGTCTTTTTGATGAGAGCCATTCTAACAGGTGTGAGGTGATACCTCACTGTGGTTTTGATTTGCATTTGCCTGATGACTAGTGATGTGGAATACCTTTTCTTGTGCCTGTTGGCCATCTGCCTGTTGTCTTTGGAAGAGAGTCTATTCAGCGCCTCTGCTCACTTTTTAATAAGGTTGTTTGGTTTTTTGTAGTTTAGCTGTGTGAGTTCTTTGTATATTTTGAATATTATTACCTCTTTGGGTATATGATTTGCAAATGCCTTCTCCCACTCAGTGGGTTGCCTTTTTGTCCTGATGGTTTCCTTCACTATGCAGAAGGTTTTTAGTTTGGTGTAATCCCATTATTTTTGCTTTCTGATTCATTGACTTTGGGATGAGATCCACAAAATATTGCTAAAACCAATGTTACGAGGTTACCACTTATGTTTTGGGGTAAGAATTTTATGATTTCAGGTCTTACTTTCAAGTCTTTAATCCATTTTTATTTAATTTTTGTGTATGGTGTAAGATAGTGGTCTAGTTTCATTCTTTGCCCATGGTTGTCTAGAGTTTCCAGCACCATTTGTTGAAGAGATTGTCCTTTCTCTATTGTATTGTTCTTTGCTCCTTTGTAGTAGATTAATTGTCCATATACATATGGGTTTATTTTTGGGCTCTCAGTTCTGTTCCATTGATCTATGTGTCTGTTTTTGTGCTAGTACCATACTGTTGTGATTACTATAGCTTTGTGGTATAGTTTGAAATCAAGGCGTATGATACCTCAAGATTTATTCTTCTTTCTTAAGATTATTTTGGCTGTTTGGGGTCTTTTGTGGTACCATCAAGTTTTAGAATTATTTGTTCTAGTTCTATGAAAAATACCATTGGAATTTTGAGAAGGATTTCATTGAATCTGTAGGTTGCTTTGGATAGTATGCCATTTTAACAATATTAATTCTTCCAATCCATGAACATTGAATATCTTTGCAATTTTTTTGTATATTCCATTTCTTTCATCAGTGTCTTGAAGTTTCCAGTGTACAAGCCTTTCACCTCCTTGGTGAAATTGTAGGTGGGATTCTTTCTGATGGTACATTATTAATGTCTAGAAACAACACAGATCTTTATACATTGGTTTTGTATCCTGTGACTTCCCTGAATTCATTTACTTCTGATTGTGGATCACGGCAGCTGGGGTGTAAGTTGGGGTGTGGGTTTTTCCCTTGGCATGACCAAATCTCTGTATCTCTGTTCCTCCTAGCCACCTCAGTGCTGTCCTTTTACCCTTTGTTGTTTTCATTCAGTTTTCAGGACTTTTTCAGAGGGAGTTTTCTCACATGTAGTTGTAGATTTGTGTTCATAGGAGGAGCTGAATTCAGGAGCTTCCTATGCGCCAGCTGTAGCTCTCTCTTGCAGATCTTCTTTTGTGATTTCTCTGGTCATGTTTCACTCATATTTATTTGTGCTACTTCTTAGTATTGAGTTGCAAGAGCTTTTAATATATTCTGGATTTAAGTTATTTTCCAGATACATGTATTGAAAATATTTTTTTCTGTTTGAGTCTTGCCTTTTATTTCCTTTCTTTGAAAAGCAGAAGGTTTTAACTTTATAAAGTCTAATTTATTGATTTTTTTTCTTTTACAGATAGTAAAATTAACATTTGGTATGAGATTAGGAAAAAGTATCCATTTGTTTTTAATGCTCTAAATAATCAAAGGTTTACCTTGTTGTATAGGATAATGGGCAAAGGACAAGGCAAGCAAGCAGATTTTTCTTTCAAAAGCTTAACTACGAAGCAATTTATCTTAATCCAAGAAGTCTGAAGTTTGATAAAAGGATCCAAGGTACTAATTAATCATTTTCCAAAGCAAAAGATAGCAAAATAATATTCATGTGCTTTATACATGTTACCATGCATGTATACGTGCAACATGGGTGTTGCACAGTCTTGAGAAGGACTCTCTTGCTTTCTTATTTAGCTTTTATTCCCCTGCCTATTGACTCCCTCAAAGGAGGGAATTTAAAATCTCTGCTGCTCCTGGAGTCTGTTCCCTTGTGATGGATTATAAACTAACTACAGGTTTTGTTTATATTTATTTGAAAATACAATTGAATGACTGCTCTGAAAATAATGTAGAAATGAGTAGAAAGTTCATCTTCTATCTCTTTTATTTGAGACAAAAGCATGGTACTGCATAGACAAATTAAGGACAGAATGTAAGGGATACCACAAGTTTCGTTGGCTGTACACATTATCAGTTTGCTGCAGAAGTTGAAAATTCCCCATTAGTAAGTGGACAGGACACTTCCTTTGGGTTTGAATTCAGCTTTCTTTGACTTTCAGCAAATAAATGACCTTTTATTTTATTTATTTTATTCTTTATTTATTTTAAAATATTTTTTCTTTTTATTTATTTACTTGGAGGGGGAGGTAATTAGGATTTATTCATTCATTCATTTATTTAAATGGACGTACTAGGGATTGAACCCAGGACCTCATGCATGGTAGGCAAGTGCTTTACCACTGAGCTGTACCCTCCCCCTAAATGACCTTTTCTGAGACTCTGTTTTTCCCTTTTTAAAATAGAGATGCTGCTCTTCATGGTGGTTATAATCATTAAATAATATAACTCATGTGGAAATATCTAAGACAAGGCCCTGTGCTATCTAACAGAGAGGATGCTCCATAGAGTATGTTTAATCTGAATGAGTTGCATATTCAAGGTTGCTGTCTAAACCAGGATCCTATTAAGCTACCACAGGCAATTAGCACCTTATTTCAAGGTAGCTTTGCAGACCTGCCTGTTTCCTAGCAATGACCCTATGGGAATACACTACCAGACACTAACTTTTTTAAATATATTTTTTAATTAAAAAAATTTATTTATTATTCAGGAAATAATACACCTAATAGTCTACTGGAGATCTCCTGATTGTTCCAGAGAGAGCAATGTATTATCAAATCTGTTAATTTTCTTTTTTTAAACAACTTTATTGTGGTATATTTCCTGTACAGTAAACTACACATACTTCAAATGTAGAATTTGATGAATTTTGATAGATGTATACCTCAATGGAACCATTACTACAATCATGATAGCTAACATTTCCATCACTCCCTGAGGTGCAGTTTTCAAATTCCCAATTTATCCCTTCCCACCCTTTTTACCCCCTGGTAACCATAAGTTTGTTCTCTATGTCTGTGAGTCTGTTTCTGTCTTGTAGATAAGTTCACCTGTGCCCTTTATTTTAGATTCCATGTATAAGTGATCTCATATGGTATTTTCCTTTCTCTTTCTGGCTTACTTCACTTAGAATGATGATCTGCAGGTCCATCCAATGTTGCTACAAATGGCATTATTTTATTATAGTATTCCATTGTATATATATACCACATCTTCAGCCAATCATCTGTTTTTTTTTAACATTTTTTATTAATTTATAATCATTTTGCAATGTTGTGTCAAATTCCAGTGTAGAACACAATTTTTCAGTTATACATGAACATATATATATTCATTGTCACATTTTTTTTCTCTGTGAGCTACCGTAAGTTCTTATATATATTTCCCTGTGCTATGCAGTATAATCTTGTTTATCTATTCTACAATTTTGAAATCTCAGTCTATCCCTTCCCACCCCATCCCCTTGGCAACCACAAGTTTATATTCTATGTCTGTGAGTCTATTTCTGTTTTGTATTTATGCTTTTTTTTTTTTTTTTAGATTCCACATATGAGCGATCTCATATGGTATTTTTCTTTATCTTTCTGGCTTACTTCACTTAGAATGACATTCTCCAGGAGCATCCATGTTGCTGCAAATGGTGTTATGTTGTCAGTTTTTATGGCTGAGTAGTATTCCATTGTATAAATATACCACATCTTCTTTATCCATTCATATGTTGATGGACATTTAGGCTGTTTCCATATCTTGGCTATTGTAAATGCTGCTGCTGTGAACATTGGGGTACAGGTGTCATCCTAGCCAATCATCTGTTGATGGACATTTAGGTTGTTTCCATGTGTTGGATGATTCTTTTTTTTTTTATTATTATTATTGAAGTAGAGTCAGTTACAATGTGTCAATTTCTGATGTACAGCACTGTGTCCCAGTCATGCATGTACATACAAATATTTGTTTTTATATTCTTTTTCATTAAAGGTTATTACAAGATATTGAGTATAGTTCCCTGTGCTGTACAGAAGAAACGGTCACCTTTGAGCAGAGAAAAAGTCATAGCCAAGACTGAAGAAGAAAATATTGTAGACATTAGGTATTACCCAGAGTGGTTTTCATCTCTTGTGTGGGGTTTCACCTTTTGATTGAGGTTTCACACTAGGGCAGCCAGAGTGGATTATGTTGGCCCGGTGCCCTGGGAGGGAGGAAAGGAAGCCATGAGAGGCAAATTAAATAGAAAGAAGAAGAATGCAAGATCACCAGGCCAGTGTTTTCTTATTTCACATTTAGCCCTTATCTTAAATAATTTACTGTTCCAACAGATTTTCTTCAGATCACAATGGACCTAGCATTCTGTTGGATACTATAGATAATTCAAAAGCCAGTGCCATGTTCTCCAAAAAGGAAGCCATACAGATACAAAATAGTGATTCAGGGCCAAAACTATTGGTACAGACCGTGATGGTTAATTTTCTATGTCAACTTGGCTAGACCATGGAATACCCATATATATTTGACCAAACATTATTCTGGGTGTTTCTATGAGGGTGTTTTGGATGAGATTAACATTTCAGTGGGTGGTTTGAGTAAAGCAGATTGCCCTTCCTGATGTGAATGGACCTTGTCCAACCCATTGAAGGCCTGAATAAAACAAAAAGACTGACCCTCCCCCAGATAAGAAAGAATTCTTCCTGCCTGAGGACCTTCAAATAGGAATGTCAACTTTTCTCCTATCTTCTGACTCTAGCTGAAACGCTGGCTCTTCCTGGATCTGCAATCTGCTGGCTGTCAAACTGGAACTAAACCCACGGCTCTCCTGGGTGTCCAGCTTACTGACTCATCCTGCCCGTCTTTGGACTTGCCAGCCTTTATAATCACATAAGCCAGTTTCTTATATATTATAAGATGTATGTTATTCATACATCCTATTGGCTCTGTTTCTTTGGAGAACCCTAGCTTAAGACAGACCACAAATGTCTTAGGAATTCTAAACGAGGTGCTAGCTGCCAACGGAGGCTTTTTCAAAACAAGCATTGGAGATGTGGCAGTGCGATAGGTCTGTCCACATGGAACCCCTTTCAGGACTCAGAAGTACGGGCTGCTGAAGGGGAAGGCATTCCATCTGCAGAACACAAAAGGACAGGGGTTCCCTGGGTCTTTAGGCCTTGAATAAGTCTCAGTTCTAGTGTTACCCCATGGCAGACAAAAAGGCCTTCTTTTGCCCTAATGAATTAATTTCTGTAAAAGGAGTTGGATAAGCTCAGTATCTATTGTTATGCTCCATTCTGATCTCTCTAGATATCATGTAGATTCTTAAACTTAAAAAATAATAGAGTATAATACTGTACCATTATAAGATAAATATTTACTTACGCTAAGGTCTTTCTCTGTGGCCATGGTATAAGCACACGGGCTTGGGGCAGCTGGAGGTAAGCCAGAGAGGGGATAAATAGGTTAAATGTGATTTCAGCAGCAACGGCTGAGCTGAATTCAGAATTGCATCTCTCCCATGACACTGGCCTAGTGCTCTTAAACAACATTTATGTGTTTGTCTTCTTAAGACCGATTTATTTTCCAAGAAGCTCATCCATCTCTCAAACCAACTGATTTTTGATAACTACTTGGCCATCAGTTTCCTAAATATATTAAAAATTTTAAGTTGGACATGGCTTAGAGCCTGGACCCCCCGTTTTGCAGGGATGGCTGGTAAATAGCAAGGAACCCATGGTCATCAGCTCCTTAAATGCCCGTCTAGAAGTATCAAGGTAGGGCTTGTAGTGGAGTCATCATGGGGATGAGAACATAGGCCTGTGTCATAGCTGCCTTGTGCCAGGGGCCATCTGTGATTCACCTTCCACCAGCAACAGTCTCCTCACTGCCAGCCAGCAGCCAGAATTTCTGCCTGTTTTCTAGGACCACTTCTAGACTGGCTTCTCCAGAAGGAGATACTGAGACAGAGCTTGGGGTCAAGATATGTATTAAGGATGGACACTTCCAAAGGAAGGATGTAGGAGCAGGATTAGGTCGAGAAGGTTGAACGTGGCAAGGAGTCTGAGAGCGAGGGTTGCTCACTGATCATCCCACAAGGTGAGAAGAAATGGCTGGGACTTTTTTGTTTTTGCTTTCTTCAATCACAGCTGTGGGCCACTCTTATAAGGATGTGAGGTCAGGCAAGGGAAGTCTCTGCAGCTGAGGTAGACCCTGAAGGAGCTGGTCACATTGCCCATAACTGGGCAGAAAGTCATTCCTTCAAGGGGAATCTGGACAATTTCCAAGTCTATCACAAAGCCCGAGCCAAGGCAGATACCACAGGGAGTTTTAGATGATAGATAGATAATAGATAGGTAGGAAGGTAGGTAGGTAGGTAGATAGATAGATAGATAGATAGATAGATAGATAGATAGATAGATAGGTAGATAGATAGATTATACAGAGATACATGTGTTCACACACACACACAGAAGACAGAGGGTGAAGAAGGAAGAAAGCGAAGAATTATGAAACAGCATTAACACTTTCTATAAATTAAGAAGGCAAATTTGTGAAGATCAAGAATGATGTGGCTGGAGATTCGAAGAAGATGGAGCATTTGGAAATACTGGCTGGGAGGAATGTTTTAAGTCTTCTGACAGAATTTTAAAATTGCCCCGCATATCAGGTGAAGTTTATAGTGTAAATTTGCAAGAGACAAATCTTATAAGACACTCAGTCTTTATTCCATGGCCTCAGATTGTCAAGGGCAGGTCCAGAGAGTACAGTGGATGCAGATTAGGGGTTTGGGGTTGGTGTGATGGCAAAATGCCACACGGGTAGAGGGGTCTAGGATGATGGGGGCAATGTTATAATAGTTGACTATGGAGCCGCCCAAGCTGAATGAAGCATCAAGAAAAGTTTGACAGGCTTCCATGTGCTGGTGTTGGAGAAAGAATGATAAGTAGTTGGAGCTAATGGAGGATTTTTACTTCTTATGACTAAATGGAAGGAAGACCAGATGAGGACGTTGCAGTAGAAAGATGAAATCACCAATTTGAGATCTTGGTTGGGAAATCTCCTACGAAGAGACTCAGGGTATAGCTACGCAGGTAGGAAGCTGGTACAGACTGGAGATGAAGGCCTGTAAAGTCATATAAGGCAGGTGAATGTGAGGTCCATGATTTGTCATCATCCTTGTCATTCAGAAGTTTTTAGTGAAGGCTGGAATAATCAGATTTGAATTTTAGGTGCTACACAAAGCAAGGTAATAAATGCTGTGTCTGGCCGCTAGGAATTTATCTTCTGAAACCCCTGAAAGGAGGTGAAAACCAATTTCCTCATTCCTGGAGAAGAGTCCTCACAAGCTTTTTCCAAATTGAGAGGAATCAGAAGAATGTTTTGGTGGCAAGTATTAGGTCTAAGATGCTAAAATATGTTGAAATCTACTTGGGTGGACTGAGGGTCAGAATGCATTTTTAAAAAACAGACATTGAATGGCTTCTTCTTTCACTTTCTGCCACACTGTCTGCTGGGCGAGGAAAATGACTCATTAATACATTTAGCGCCAGAGGCTTGACTCATTCAGAAATCTCTCAACCACCACCTCGCCCAGTCTTAGTAGACTTCAGCTGATGATATTCTCCAGCTTGGGCTGTCGGAATCATGCCTCACACGTGGGTAATGGGTTTTATAGCTTGTCCCAGAAGTAGGCTAGTAGGATGAATTCCCACTTCAGTGATGTGGGAGCTAAGTGAATCACCTTAGGCTAGACACTGAAGAGAGGCTGAAACTGTACTTCTGTTTCTCACCACCAGAATTAGCAAAGGGTCCGCAGCGAAACACCGACTTCTAGAGCAGACGCTCCAGGTGATGGTTTGAGGTCTAAACCCAATGACCATCCAGAAGTAACTGCTACCACATTTGAAGAAGTGATAGCACATCTCCTAACTGAGCAAGTTGAGGGCAGGGGCAATTTCTCATCCGACTTTATATTTCCTGTGCCTCACCCAGAGTTTGGTAATCAGTATTCAAAAAAAATAAATAAATACATTGAATGAATGAATGAACTACCTTGAATGTCAATTTTGTGATTCCTGTCTCTCCTGAGAGGAATAGAGTATGTGCTTTATATACATTTTGTGGTTCTCAGCAGTGACTTGTCCTCAAACGCAAGTATCAGAGATAAAGGGATTCATTGCATTACAGAATTTTCAGTCTCCTGGGTCTCACTCTTTTGATCAGTGTTTTTGTTGCTAATATACACGTAGTTCCTGAGGCAGAGATAGAAAAGGAACACAACGTGACTCCAAACAGACCTCCAGTTTTTGGGGCTTGGGGTCTCCAAAGTCCTACATTTTTGTGTTTAGCATCTGAACTTTGGAAGCTTCAGTTATATCTTCTGTGCTCTTGAGTCGGTGAGACTCAGAGATGTCAAATCCAATCTATAAATATTTATTGGCACATGTATAAGAAAGTCATTTGGAGGAGATTAAAAAATGGAAGATACAGGCTTTGTCTCAAGGTATTTGCAATCTACCTGGGGAGAAAAGATATAAAAAGTGTGAAAAAGGTGACACTAAAAGGGATAAGTAGCAACTCAAGATAATGAACATTTGTCACAAGTCAACCCGTGACTAAGCATTCATCTTTCCCCTTCTCGCGTCTTACCAGAAGCTCAGCACTATTTAAGTGTCCAGGCCTCCCGGGCACCAGGGCAAGAGGACCCTCTCCCCAGACCAGGTCTAGGTCCTAATTAGTAAAGGAAATCGATGCATGACATTCCCTGTGCTACTGTTATTGGTCTAGCACTAGGCGTGTGACCAATGACAGCTCCAGGTGACTGAGGGAAACTGATAGCCACTGCTCGGGGAGAGGGTCCCCACTCTCTGCCACTAGATGTGAGCAAAGAGTGTCGCCTTAGCTGCTTTTGGAAGCCATCTCATGACCACAGAGAAACCAGACATGGGATGGCAGGAGGGAGAAAATCTGGATCTCCAATGCTGCATTTGAGTCTATGAATCAACCTGGGAGTGTCTCCTAACTCAAGGCTTCCTGCTACATGAGATAATAAATTTTCTTATTGCTTAAGCTGGCTTGGTGGGGGGTTTGTTTCCAAAAGGATCTCAAGGAGACAATGACCAATTGCCAGCTGTGTGGGCAGATAATAATTACTGTGAGAGTTCAGAGTGGGGAGAGTTCACATCAGGCCAGAGTGGTCAGGACAGCATTCAGAAAAACAGAGCCTTTAAAAATGAATAGAATTTGTACAGAAGGAGAGGCCAGAGAAAGATATTCCAGGCAAAAATCGGGAGATGAAAAGAACTGGAGGAACAATAAATGAATAGAGGGTGCAAAGTGAGAAAGGAAGGGTCAGATCGGATTTTAGAAGACCTTGAAGATCAACTTAAAGTACTCTGATATTTAGGTAGCAAGGCTGTCATAAAGATTTTTGAACAAGCAAATTATCTGTCCCTGCCCGAGCATTTGAAGCCAGGTCCACCCGCAGCAACATAATACTCCTGCTGGCCCATAAAAACAGTTTCCAACATTAATGGGTGTTTTAAGCAAACGGTCCACCCCACACCACTGCCCCTTCACCTTGACTTGCCTACACTTTGGTCTCGTCTCTCTGGCTCCACACTCGGGGCTCTGGGATTCTGCCTCTCATTCCCTGTCTTTGGCTTCTGCAGATTTGTCTCTCATCCTACTTATCCCACCCTTTAGTCCTTATTTCTTCTCTCTTGTGAACTCTGGGGTGATGTGCCTTCTGTGTTCTTGTGGGATGTTTACATCCTTACCAGCCAATCTCCATCCCAGGTACTCAGGAGAAAAAAAGAGGGAGGAATATTCAAGTAGAAATGGTAGTGCAGAAGTGAGCCAAACATGGTTGTGCCGTGGTTGGAACCAAGGTTGTTTTAAGGGCAGTCACATAAGGAGTTAATATATACACTATACAAAGAGTTCTTAGAAGTTGACAAGAAAAACACCAACAACCCAGTAGAAAAATAAGTAAATGTCTAGCTAACATGAATTTGAGTTCCTTAAAATTATGGGAATGCAAATTAAAGAAAAAAATGCAATATCACTTTACTAATCCCTATTACTTTGGCAAAAGTGAAAAAGCTGTCTTGTTGGGCACATGGGGAGAAGGGCACCCACGCATTACTTGAGGTGGCGTGAAGACTTTGCAGCGTTATTTGGTGAGGGCGAAATGGCAGCGTCTCTGAAAATTAAGCACACACATAGCCTTCAATCCAGCAATCCGCTCCTGTTTTAATCTCATCGAAATAAAAACAGCAAGACAAAAGACATAAGAACACATACATATTGCCACACTATTTGTATGAGGGGAAAATCTGGGGAAAAAGAGAATAGGTACTGAAGAGGGGCTGAGTGAATCATAGAGTGGTGGGCAGCCTTCATGGTCAACGCGTGCTCTCCCAGTGGACCT